CTCCTCCTCCTCCTCCTCCTCCTCCTCCTCCTCCTCCCTCCTCCTCCCCCTCCCCCTCCTCCTCCACAGTGGCACAATATGATTACAACTCTCCTCTCTCCCCTGACCCTGTCCCGAAGATGGCCCATCCTTACTGTCTTCTTGCTTTACGGTCAACTTATTTTCGGTGTTCAGAGATGGTGCTCCCGCTGCAGCGTGGGCCTGATTTTCGGATCTGCGCGTTGCTCCCATCGTTCAGAATGGCGCTCTAGCCACAATGCGGGCCACTTTCCTGGATCCGAGTCCTTTTTGATCGATGTCTTCCCCATCCTTTCCCCTCTCCTGGTCTTCCTGTTCCCGCCGCTCCTCCTACTCCAATTCCTGCTGCTCGTCCTCGTCCTCCTCATTCCTAATCCTCGTCCTGATTATTATGTCAATCCTTAAGCGAATCCGCCGCCTCCTCCTCCAATCAGCACAACTCCCTCTTCTCCCATTGCACACAATACGATGGGAACATCTTTGAAGTTCCAGGTCCGCGATGACACTCGCAGGCGGTTGCAAGGCCGCTCCCCCCTCCGAACGTGGCAAATCCCTAACCTGGCCCAGGCCCTGTCGACACTGCGCCAAAGCTAACCTGACCCACTAAAGCTATCGTGACCAATGGCTTGGCGACACCAGTGTGTCACACGCGCGATGTAGCAAATGATGCACCAGAATGGGGCGACGCAGCAACATGCAATGCAAAAGTGCCAATAGTATCACTAATCCCTCCTCGTCTCCATTTGGCTGGCACCACAGCGAGACCGACATTCTTCGGAAATCGACTGACCCGGGTCAATCCAGACCCGGGTCAGTCAGGCCTTACAGGATCCTGCAAGATCCTGCAGGATTCTGCAGCATCCTGCGCCCAAGCCTGGGTCAATGCAATCCTGGTTCTGCAGTATCCTGCAAGATCCGGCGCTCTGACTGACTTCCGTTTGCGTTGACTCGCGTCTCTAGAGCCCCGAATTTTCAATGAAGGACGTCGCCAGCGCCTAAGCGACAACATCATTTTAAATCACAGATGTGGCCCAGGCACAAGGCGAGAGCAACACGCTCAACGAATGATGTCACCGGCGCCTGAGCGGCAAGAACATTTCCAATCAGAGATATGGCGCACGCACAAGCTGGAACATCATTCCGAGACAAGCGTGTCTCCAGAATGCAGGTGGCACGCCCATTCCGCGCGCACCGAGGTCCAGATTACGCTAATTAGGTGGGTAGTCCACGATAGGGGGGGTAGAGAAAAGTGCAATGGGAAGGGATGGGTAGGAGGGATAGGATAATAGGATGTCAGAAGAGGCGCGAACGCACCTAGCTTGACCTCCTCCCCTCTCTCTGCTCTTCCTCCTCCTGCTCGACACCCAAGAGGCGACGGAACATAACCCAGTTTTGTATGCGGTCCGTTGGCTAGTTCGGGAGTTCAAGGCCTGCTTGTCTGATCTCTTTAAGGCAAAGGTCTGTGCATCAACGGGGCGAGCATCCTGGATCCTCCCTCTCTGGCTCAGGATACACTGCAGCGTTTGAGGAACATTCTATCATGGTCTACTCCTACCTCCAAGGGCTCTCCTTAGGTCAGGACGCGGACCCCGTAGATGGCCAATTCATCCTCGACGAGATCGAACTACCTCTCAGCAAGTGCGCCGACACGGGTCGGCACCCTGGCTCTTGGACGGGATTTCGAAAGGGGGATGAGGGCTCACAAATGGACGAAGCAACTTCGACCCTTTCGCGGGACTGGCGTCTTGTTTCAGATCCTGTTTAACTACGTGGGACCGATGCTGCCAGATTATCTAAACTTCGGTGTGCGGAACCTGAGCCAGATCGCCAGCCATCCCGAGTTCAGTTTCTGGGTCCCCTCCCTCGCTGATTCCCTCATGAGATTCGAGAAATCAGCAAGTCGTACTCCCCGCACACAGCTGTCAACATCGACGGGTTCTGGATAAGGCACTTCAGCAGCCTCTCCGACGGGTGCCTAGAATGCCTGAGCATTGTGTTCTCCATCATCAAGTCCTGGTGTGTTCCCGTACCACATTCGTGTCACGCGGCTTGCTCTTCTCTCCAAACCTGCTGGATGCTACTGACCGATCGGCCTCTTTAGCCGTTGTCATTGGCTTCTGGGGAGGGCAGGGCGTTTAGTAACATCGAAGTGGGAAAGGGAGCACAGTCGATCATATCTAGCAGCATCATAATCTTTCAACGGTGCCAGCGACGTCGTATGGAGGCAGAGCCTTTGCAATGAACCAGGACTTCGCACTGGACACTTGCGCAAGTTCGATGAAGACATTCTATCGACCTCCTACAACAAGGTGCAGAACAGCTATACTTCCCCGAACCCATATAATGTTTGTGTATGCCCGCATGTCGAAACGCTAGGTTCATTACACCCGCTTCGACCTCGACGGGCCCGCTGTACTCGGTCATCGGTGTGATAGCTCAATGTCCCATGACAACAACACTCGTACGCACATACGTCATACCTGTTTGCGATGCGCTCGGCATGCCCCGCTATATCGTGCTCGGCGTGCACGCAGATGGCTATGGTATGGCATCGATAGGCTCGTAGCTAATTGTCAGGCAAAGCATTAAGGAATTCACGTCGGTCGGTAGTCATGCAAGCCAAGCAATCAGACATGTGCTGCCCAGCCGCCGAGGACCAAGCAAGAACTGTTGCGTCCAATGCTCGGTTGGGTAAGAACCTGACCCAATTTCTCGGAGCCTAAGGTGGGGACAACTCTACGCAGACAGCCGTCAACCTCGGCATAGATGACACAGCTGACAAGGCCCGCAAGAATAGTGAAAGGTCCAAGAAGGCTTTGGACAAGCGTCGGACGTTGGAAGCTCATCTTCTTATGTATGGGACGGCTCAGAAAGCGTTTGGGCAATACTTCAGGAAGATCTTCACCTCGAGGCCTCTTTGTGGTGACACCTACGGGGCCGAAATACATGGGACGTCTGATGGAGAACCGAAGACGCCCAAGAAGTGCTCCAACAAATGGGTAACACCGCCTGTAAATTCTAGAGACGTGATATCTATCACAATTTGGGAACACGACCCGTGCTACTGTGCTAGCATCGCCCCAGTTCTCAGATGCTCCAAGGCGGTAAGGTTGAACAAGACCAGACAGTATCAGTGTGCAGTTCCTGTCAGCACTCCCAGGTTAGCGTGAGAGCCAGCCTCCACAGGAGACCTGCCATCGTGGAGAAAGGTAACATGTCCGACGACGGCGACGCGAGCTTCTTTGCACTGTCGTTGGGTTGGGCGACGTCGAATTTCACGGGGCGCGTCACGGACCAAAGAATTTCGTTCGACCGCGACACCACCAGCCCGCGTCTCCTGAAGAAGCTCCTTAGGGACGGATTCCACGTCAACTTCAGACAGTCGGCTGTTTCTCACGGGCTCGAGGACGGTTCCAGGATCTGCATGGACATTTGACTTCAGGAACACAACCCGAAGAACCGAATAGCCTTCGAGAAACGACTGCATACGTTCACTTGCTTGCAGCGATGTTTGACCAAGCCACTGTGCACAAGATGCAAACTATTTGCCCGAGTGCGTCTCTTGCCCGCAAAGCGGAGGGCCTGATAAGGTATGGCGTCGCCCGTGGTTCGGCAGTGGGACCAGACCAGAAGAAACAAACGTATCGCTAATTGAACGTGCTTGTACATTTGCTCCAGACGATCCTGCCAGACTCGTGATGTTTGCCACGGGGACTTTGCCTCATCTGGGGGGTACTGCTCCTCCCCCGTACCCGAGAAGGTGGAATGGTTGTTCGGTGGGTTTGCGATCCGAGGCCTGAGGCTCCGACTATCTCGGGGCACGTGCTTGTGTTCGACGTTTCTGGGCTAAGAAGAGCCCAATCCCAAGATATGTCGTGCGGGCTGGGGGGGCTGCTGTGCGCAACGGTAATCAGGATAGTGGTTGCACCTTGGAGGGCCCTGTTCCGATTTGACCTCCTTAATCCTCCCAAGCTTGTGAATTGTGCGGGCTTGGGGCATCCAATGAACTCCTTTGTGCCCAACCTGTAGGGTACTCGGGCCGTGAGACCGTAGCCAAGAGCTTCAACCCCCACATATCCAGCAGCTTAGTTCTAAACACACTATGCAGGTGCCATGGTGAGCACGAACAGTCCATGATATTCCCGAGCCCAGAAGGTCAAAGCGTGGTTGTTTCGGGCGAAGGCTTAGAAAGCATCCAGGCTTCCTATAAGCGTGGTAACGGTGATTGTGAATTGGCGGCTAAGAGGGAAGCGCATCCCCAAGCCGCCAGCTGCCCAAGGTCGAGCTAGACAGGGTTTAAGATCCAGTTGGCATTTCGCGTGCTGGCATGCGTCGTTCTGACAGGCTGCTTCCAGCATGGCACCGTTAAGATTTAGTCTGCCCCCCCCCGCCCCCCCACCGAGTGGCTGGGCGACAGAATCAGGCCAAGCCTCACAGTCCCAATTACGATTGGATGTGTGGCCGCAATGTTTTGAGGTGCCACGTGTGATTGGAAACAGGCAGGAGGGAGCAGAAACCTGCTTGCAGTGGCTGCCGAGGATCCCCGCCAGAGCGAATCCTGGCCATTGCCCGTAGTGGCCATCGCCTTGTTGTTTCGTCAAGCCACGTGTTACCTTGCTTCACGCATGCAGCAAGTGCTTCTCATACACGACTGGGGACATGTCAAGAAGCTTGACAAGCCATGCCAGTGCCCCCCCACCCAGTCCAAAGAAGCACTACAGTCCTGGAGTTTTATGTACAGAGGCAAGCACCCCTAGCTTTCATAAGTCTAGGTGGGGCCTTTCTCCCTGCATGAATAGACATGCAAGCACCACCCTGGTGAAACAACGCTTCCCCTCCTCCCCCCCATTTTCCTCCTCCTCCTTCCTCCTCCTCCTCCTCCTTCTCCTCCTCCCAACTCCTCCCCATCCTGTCCCTCCTCCTCCTCCTCCTCCTCCTTCTCCTCCTCCACGGGCCCTGGCCGTCGCGCCTCGCCCTTCTCCTTGGCCGCGAGCGCCCCAAATAGACCAGCGGCGGGCGCCGCGGCGGCCGCCTTGCCAGTGGCAGCCTCTTCGGGCGCCGCGCCGAAGATCGACTTGCCCCCGCCCGCGCCTTGGGGGGGAGACATCGCGGTTAGAGTGGAGAGGAGAGGGGGAGGCATCGAGGATACGGCAGATTCGAATCGTGCCGATTTCGGCGATGATTCCTGCGCGGGGATTATTCAACCTTGAACGATCGGCCGTTCCCGAAACGTCAGGTCGTTCAACATCGACCGATTATGGGTCGCCAGCGGCGTTCAACGTTGCAGGTAGGCCCCCGAAGAAGCCACGAACATACACCCCAACAACGGGGCACCGCCACCCCATGCGGAGCACCAAAGCCCCCAACACGACGGGATGCCCCCCCCCCCATACTGATACAGGGTGCACACCCGCAGCCGACGGAAGCATCCCCCAGGAGGACGAGAGGGAAGGAGGGGATGAGGCGGATGAGGAGCAAAAGGACGCAGGGAATGCGGTTGATGGTGCGACGCGTGGCTTCGCACTGTGCGTGATCGGTTGTCGGTGAGGCTCAGCCTGCAACGGGTGGCGCAAAGAGTCGAAGACTCGCCACCCACGCCACCGCCCAGGCCCGTCCACCAGGGGGAAGGACGAGGGAGGAGGGAGACGAGGAGGGAGAAGAGGGAGGAAGAGAGGAGAGATATGAACTGGGAGAGGAGGACAGAGAGGGGTTAGCGCGCAAAGTGTCCGTCACCGCAGGTGGGGCGAACATAATGAGGACCACGGATACGGATACGGATACGGATCGCTTGTGCGGGCATGCGCCCGGGCCCCTTAAGGGCGAGGCGGGTGAGGTCATGGCCTCGCATGAGAAGCTGCGCGCGTCGGGGGTCTACTCAGGACAATGTGTACTTCAGGAGCTGATTTCCCGACAGTCCCCACTCATCCGTTTTCTCATGATGTAGCCACGTCGTCTCGTTGAAATCGTAGTTCTTGTGGTGTGAGACTGTCGGAGAAACCCGTGGGTGTCATCGTCCTTTCTGTGATCTCGAACTCATAGCAAAACACGTTCGAGTTGAACTCCTCGGACCTCCAATCCACTGCACATGGGTGTGGGAGCACTAGTGTTCTCATGAACTCTGTGTCAAATCCTTCAGGTACTACTCAAGAAACAGATCACCACGTGCAATCGAAGGCCCATACGCGCTCTGTGACACACCCAAGAGATCAGCTAGAGGTCGATTGGTGGTGGAAGTGGGAAGTCAAATGTGAGAGGTTGGAGGTCTGAGTGTTGTGCTGGTGGAGGTTGGCGGTTGATTGGTTGAGGTGGAAGTCGAGAGTCGGATGCTGGAGGTTGGAGGTTAACAATGTGAACTCCCAGTGGGCACGACGCTGACACCAAATGATCCACGCCATATGCGAGAGAGGGGATGACAAAAACTCTCGAGCAGCACGAATATGCAAGCACTCACCGGCAAACTTGACCAGCAGCGGCAACAGGCCCAGCACAAACATGATGTCAATCGGCGTGGTGTAGAGCACACGTACAGATGTACCAACGCCCGAGACCACCAAATACAGTCTGTGCAAGCCAAAACCGTAGCGCCGCATCGCGGCCGCAGATACAGGCGTCAACCAGCACACACAACGTCCTTGAGCCAAGAACTGTAACACACTCGCAGGTGACACATCAAAACTATAAATGATGAGATGAACGTGCCAAACAATATCCGAAACACATGCAAGGACCACAAAAGCCGCAACTTCCACAAGGTGTTCCATATGCACGCGGCAAAAACTCGCAGTCGAAACGAACAAGCAACAAACATACACAGCCACACTGAGGACTGCCGTGTTTAGCACTACTGGGGGCACCCACGCCAAAGAACGAGGCCTGGTCAGCAGCGCGGTAGGGCTTGCAAGCTCTGTGCCAACACACACTCTGAACGCGGAACGCCCTGCCTGCGCGGCTGGGATCTATACATGACCACAGCCTGGAGGGGGGGAACCGATCTTCGGGAACCTCGGCAGGTGTGAACATGGATATGCCTGCCCCACCCCCCGAGGGACCGAGTATATCAGTATCCACTGCCTGCCGAGATCACCCAAAAAGCGGTCCCCTAGGCGCGGGTTATGTACACATCCCCGCCTCGGACTGCCTTGGCCTTCGCCTCCCGCCTCCCGTCTGGGAGGGCGGGGATTGGGCGGTGTGGGAAGCGGGGCAATCGGCCTGCTGTTCTGAGCTCTGGGCTCTGTGGAAGCCCTGGGCGCGCAGAGCAGCGACCCCCGCGGCGCGAGGCCCGTGCAACCCCGGATCCCTTGCAGTGTCATCGCGCTGGGTGCGTGCACCCAGCTTCGGCGGCCCCTCACGGGTCGATCCAGCTCGGGGACTGCTGTGGGTAGAAGGTTGGGGCCTAGAGCTCCGATCGCGATTTCTCGCGATGCTGCATCTTTTTCGCGGCGCCCGGCGTAGACACCAATGCGACGCCAAGACCGCAGGGCATTGACAGAATCATCCTGGCGAGGGTCGGGGCGCGAGGGGCGGCAGTTGGCGTGGCGTCGGCAGAGGCCTCCCAGGCGGGGTTCGAGAAGATGGGGTCGGAGGATCGCGCCGCATCGCCGATGCGCTCGGTGCCGTCGGCAAGGAGAAGACCCGGCTTCGCGTCGGCGCGTCGCTGGCACATCGAGCCCCACGTGGGAGGCCTGGACCGATCCCGCCCGCGTCCTGAGGCCCGCGGTCGTTGCCGAATTCGGGCCTCGACCCTCGAGGGTCGAGAGGGGGGGAAACTCTCGAGCGTTTCTGGGCCTCGCCGGGCCTCTGGGGACCTCGGGGGACCTGCTGTAGGACCCCACTTGGGAGACCTGCCGTCGACGTTGACGTGCCCCAGCGGGGCGCGCCGAAGATGCTGGCGGCGGCGTCGGCCACCGCGCCCCCGGCGGCGGCGGGCGCGGCAGAGCCGTCAGCGACGGCAGGGCCGCCAAACGTGAACAGCGAGGGCGCGGCGCCAGAGGGGGCGTCCGCGGCCGGGGCGCCCGCGGCGGGGGCGGCGCCGAACGCGAAAAGCGACGCCGCGGTGGCGCCTGCCCGCGGCCAGGGGGGTCCCGCGGACCGCCTCCTCCTCATCCTCCTCCATTCCATTTCATTGTGAATGGATCCTCCCAGTGGCACCCCGAGGCGTGTTGGCAGGGCAGGCTGGGCGCTTCGCCTGAGCCTCCCTAACCATTTATTGCCCTGGAGCTTAGAATGTGCGAGAGCTTCACGGATGGAGGACGGGCCTCTTTCAAAATATGGCTTTCGTCTTAGCGCGGCGCGCACTCGACTAAACAAATTGAAAGCGTTTCACGGATGGCTCTCGCCTTAGCGCCGCGCACATTCGTTTGAAGAACTTATAGCAATTTGATTGTTATATTTTGCCCACCGCGGGGCCGAAACGGTAAAACAAACAGGCGACCTGCCTGCAGAGGAGGCTGCCTTCGCTGCCTCCTCATTATCCTGGACACGCAGTCTCATGGCTTGGAACCCCTCAAGCAACCCCATCATCAAAGGCTGCCGCAGCGTCACATCTTCGGGCGGGGGCATCGCGGCAACGTAAGCTAAATTGGTGACTCCTCTCCGTGAGGTCACCGAAACCGCGGAGTCGTCCTTGGCATCCGGCAGCACACCTTGGCAAATCCTCCTGAGATTGGTGGCACCTCCCCAAACAACGTTTGGCAAGATGACGGGCTGCCAGGGCGCAACTATCCCGTTGATTCGTTATGCTGAAATCCCAACAGCGGTGTTCTGGCACGATTCAGGATCGTCTTGATGCAACAGTGGGGATGGCTCGCAGCGTTGGCGTCCAGGAATGCTTTCTGGCACAATTCAGGAATTTCAAACGGTTGTCCTCCAACGGGGCATTTCCATCAATGAGAAATTGTACCCTTGTAGGGACCTATGAAGAGGGAACTTGGAGGGAGGGCTTATTGCAATATCGTGAATGCGTCTTGGGTTTACACTGGTCCTCCTCCTCCTCATCTTTTCGTCCTCGTCCTCCTCCTCCTTTCCCTCCGACTCCTCCTGAAATTGTTGTTATCCGCCATCGTGCCCCCTGGCACGTAGAGGCGTGGAAGAATGCCCAGGTCCGCATGGTAGAGTTTTTTTGAATTCTACAAAAAGACCGCCCCCTCTACCCACGGACTGTTGCATGCATCGCCCCTCCTTTCCGATGCAATTTCCCTCTTGCCCGCTCGAGGATGGTGCACTTCCAGCATGGCCGCTTACGCCAAATCCCCCATTCCACGCGTGCGCGCTCGAGGATGGTGCACTTCCCGCATGGCAACTTATGCCTGAACCCCCATTCCATGAGCGCCCGCCTCCTCCTCCTCCTCCTTCTGCTCGACCTCCTCCATCCTGTGCCCTGCCACCGTCCACTCCGCCGCTGTAGCCGATTGCTTAGACGGCTTAGACGGCGAAAAAAATTAAAGTGTGGGGGGGTCCCCCGCCCTTCATGGGCAACGTGGCGCCCAGCTCCAGGACCTCGCGAAGCATCGCCTTGGTGATCGCCCGCAGCAACTGCTCCGGGCAATGCCCGGCGTCCGCCGCGCGCTTGTGCTTGGTGACCCCGCTGGCGCCCTTGAGGTCGACGCGCTGGTGCCGCTGTGAGCATCGGCGCGCCACCTCCTGCAGATGACGCACGCCGGTGGCCAGCCACGACCGCTTGCGGCACCGGTCCGTGTCGCTGTTACCGTCTGCGGGCCCGAAGCCGTGCTCGCACTGGTCCACTGGGACCACCAAGACGTCGCGCCTCCTCAGGATTGCCCACCATCGCTCCAGGTCCTACGCTTTCGGGTAGCGACCGTCGGGCGCGGGGTGCTCCGCTGTCGGCAAGGAGTCCGCGTCAGCGATGGCCTCGAACAGACGAGCCGCGAATTCGCCACCGCGGCCCCCTCGATCTCCCACAGGGGCCCGTCTGGCTGGCCCCTGGGCCCCCCGAAGGTCCGCGCGCCCCCGCCCCATAGTATCCTGCCCGAGCCTCATCCAGCAGGGCCTCCTGAACTGCTCTGCGCCCAGTGTCGTGGTCCTCCCGGGGCCCTTTGCAGCGCTCGGGGTCGGCGCGCAGCTCCACCGCGGGAGTAACCTCCACTCCCGCTTTGCGCAGCGCCTCTGGCCATCCTCGGGTGCCGGCCCAGACTGCCTTGGCCGCGATGACTCTGCCTAGCCAGAATGGGCGCGCACCTCCCGTCGCCCGCCCGCGCCGTTCGCATCTCCTCCAGGCTGGGTTGCCCCAATTGCCGAAGATCCTCCAGCGCGGGCCCTCCCCGCAGATGTCCTGCCCCCCTGCCTTGCGCTCGCGCCCTGACTCCCGAGCCGCGCGACACCTTGGGCAGCGTTTGGCCGCGCCCCCAACACCTCGGCTTCCTCCTGGGCAGCGTCATCCAGACAGACGCCCCTCCCAGCCCCTGCGACCTGCTGGGGCGGGCGGCCGCCCGCGAAGTCCCCTCTGAGCGCGTCCGCGCCCACCTCCGGTGGCACCAGCACTTGTAAATGCCCACTGTAGAGCAACATCCACACGCCCCCACCGCCCATTTTCGCGTCGTGTTCTTCGCCCACGATGACCTCGAGCCTGGCTCGGCCCAACGGGTCGACGCGCACCGCGTGCGCTGCGGCCCCCTGGAGGGCTGATGGGGGAAGGCCGCCAACGCGCGGTAGTACTTGTCGCGGCCCAGGCGTAGGGTGTTGCGGCATAACATCCGGACATTCGCCTCCGTCACTGGGATGCATGCATCTGGCGGGCCCATATGGACGTCTCTGCCTGCCCCGCCTCTTCCCACATAGCAACCCGCCAGGACATCGCCGACGTGCCCCATCATCTCCGCGACTGCTGGATCCTTCCCGCTAACTGACCGCAGATGGGCGGCCGCGGCTTTGACGAACACGCGCCGCCTCTCCTCCGCTCTCCGACCCTGCGCTCCGGAAGGTGCCCAACCAACTCCTCCATGACAGCCGGCCGGTCGCGGTAGTCCCGCATCTCCCAAATGCGGCCTCTAATATGGGTGCGCCCTCTACCTGGCCCCCCTGAGGCCCCCGGGCACCGTCTTACCCGCGTGTGCTTCACGCCCATCGAGTTCCCCTCCGGTGCGCTCGACGCGCGTGGCCAGGTGCGGTCGCGCCTGGGCTGGCAGCCCCTCGCCCCCGAGCTCCACCGCATCTTGGAGGACCTCCTCGACGATGGCGACTTGCCCGCCCAGGCGCCCGCCCAGCAGGCCCCCGCGGCAGCATGGCCGCAGAAGATTCGATGCACCCGCCGCCAACTTCGCCTCGGGGGAGCCCCTGATGGTCATCGCCGCGGCCAGGTGCTCCGTAGCCACGCGGGGCAAGTCAAGTCCTCTGGCAGCTCCTCCGGGCACGCCGTCGCCCCCTGGTTTCCGGCGTCATGCCTCCAACTGGCGCCCGGCCCTGGACCAACTCTTGGAGCTCCCGCTCCTGCGTGGCGCGTGGCGTACCCCATGTCGGCGTGCTCGGCGGGGGGGGCAGTCTCGCCCGCTGGCGGTGGGGATCTGCTCGAGCCCTCGCGTCGGCCGCCGCGCTGGGCCGCCTGGCCCGTTCCCTCTTGGGCCTTCGCCGCCTGATCCTTTGGGCCTCCGCGCGCAGCTGCTTGGTCCCGGGGAGACGGCCCGGTCTTCAAGCCTCCTCGTTTGATGCGCGGCGCCTTCAATGTCCAGTGGGCCCTGCCCGCGCTCTTGGACCCCTCAGCGCAGGACCTCTGGCAGGTTGTGGCCGTCTTCGAGCATCCGTCGTGGCAAGCGGCGTTCCAGCACTTCGGCTTGCCTTTGGAGTCGCCGGGGCCGCGCATGATCGAGTCAGCGATCTCGGGGCCCGTCAGGGCCGAGAGGACTTCTTGGGAGAGGCGATCTTTGCTGGCCCCAGCCTTGGCCCCGCTGGCGCCTCCGCCCCGGACAATCCCCCTCCCCTTCCCCCTCGGCCACCCGCCCCCGCGCCGCCCGAGGCCCGGTCTAGCGCGGCTCGGGGTTCCGACCCGTCGTCGCCTCCAGTGCCACCAGCGGCCAGTGGTCGCAGCTGTGCTCGACGGGCGCTCTCCCAATAGGCTGCGTCCGCGTTCTTCGCCAACGGCTCGGAGATCACTGTGCGACAATGTCCCTCTGGATCCTCGAACTCGGAAATAGCCGGGGGTGGCAGGGGCGGTTTTTCCTCCGGAGTCGGGGTCAGTGCCGCGAAGATGAAGTCCTCCTTCCGCAGCAGCTCCTTGCTGTAAAACCACTGCGCCCCCTTGACCCCCCACTTCAGCCCCTCGCGCCACCTCGAGTTCAGCTCCCCCCGCGCATCCTGAACGAAGCGAGCCGTGCACTTGCGTGGCTTGTCCTCGCGGAGGCGGATGAGGTAGTCCAGCGCCTCGCTTCTCTCGCCCCAGTGCTTGGCGCCGCAGGTCAAACAGGCAGCCCAAAATCCCATGTCGCGCGTGGCGGGCCCACTTTGACATGTCCACTGGCTGCTTGGGTCCAAGCTCTATATTGCGCTCCGTCGAGGGCGCGCAGTCATCGACTAGATCCTCCGGGCGCGTGACCCAGTCCGCGACCCCCAACGCGTGAGCGCGCATAGCGTCGACTGACTTACATCCCCGCGGCCCCGTCGCCAATGTGTAGACAATCTGGTAGTTGACCAAGGTCGGCCACCGATGATGCTTGGACAACGCTGCCGAGTGCTCCGCCATGCGCATGAGGGCCTCCGCCAACGAACGCCTCACCTCATCCGGGCGCGCCGCTACTCTGAACCTCCCGCACCCCCTAGCCGCCAAGATCAGCAGCTCGTGGTCCTTGGAGATGGACTGAAGCGTTCCCACCGTGCCAGCACTGGCCCCCTCGGCCCGCGAATTGTTCAGGACAAGGTCGTACGCGATGTCCGCCAATGCCCACGCGGCGCCGCCGCCTTCCGCAGTGTCTAAGTCACCCAGGGCACCCGCAGAGCGCCTGGCCTTCTCGGACGGGCCGTGCTCGTCGCGGTCGGACGTCGCCCTGGGCCGCCGCGCCGGGGCCCCAGAAGTTGGCCCAGCACGGTGCTCGAACAGGTTCATGGGGGGCGGCGT